GGAAAGGAGTGGGGCAAGAAATATTTATGGAGTGATAGTGAAATTTAGGTTAAATTGGGTTAGGTTAGGAATCATTCTCGATTTTAAATTATGCATTATTCGGTAAAATTTAGGTTAGGACTAATGTCCGACTTGAAATTCCACATTATTCGGTCAAATTTAGGTTAGGACTTACGTTCGACTTAAAATTCCACGTTATTCGAGGAAAAGTGACGGAGGAGGAAATATTCACGCAATGATAGGAAAATTTAGGTTAAATTGGGTTAGGTTACTCTCGCACTCGATTTTAAATTACGCATTATTCGGTAAAATTTAGGTTAGGACTAATGTCCGACTTGAAATTCCACATTATTCGGTAAAATTTAGGTTAGGTTTCACGTTCGACTTAAAATTCCACGTTATTCGAGGAAAAGTGACGGTGGAGGAAATATTCACGCAATGATAGGAAAATTTAGGTTAAATTGGGTTAGGTTACTCTCGCACTCGATTTTAAATTACACATTATTCGGTAAAATTTAGGTTAGGTTTCACGTTCGACTTGAAATTCCACATTATTCGGTCAAATTTAGGTTAGGTTTCACGTTCGACTTAAAATTCCACGTTATTCGAAGAAAAGTAGTGGAAAAAGAAATATTCACGCAGTAATAGTAAAATTTAGGTTAGGACTCCTTCTCGTTATTCGAAGAAAAGTGGTGGGGGAAGAAATATCGACGCGATATTAGTAAAATTTTTGTACGATCGAGCTAAGAATGCACGTGTAAGATTGATAACAGTGAAAGAACAGTGGTGTTGCAGACAATGATGTTTTATTAATGCTCCATGTAAGATTAATAAGGGCAAACGAGGTGGCACATTAAGTGTGGGCATTAGGTGGACAAAAAGCAGCGATCGCCGCGTAACGTGTCCCGTCACGGTGTTCTTCGTGGCTGCATACATGCATTCTGGACGACCTGCTCTCTCTCTCAATGATCCGCGCACGAGATTACTTTGATATACAACAGTTTAGCCGTCGAACACGTTGGGTTGTCGCAGGTCAGGTCAATTCAGGTCAACGTACTCCTTGGACACTGTCTGTGTACGTCCTCGCTTCCCGTCTTTCTTCCTAACTCATCTCTTTCTTCTTATTCGTCTGCTCAGCTTCCTTCGATTCTCCTTTATTTCGTTATTCAGGACGTTAACGGCAGGGAAAGCGTCTCGTTTCCTGGAGAATTTTTGTTTTTCTCCAATTGTGGGATTTTTGGTGTTACTGTTTTTTAGCGTGAGATTTTTGATCAGGAAATTGGGAAATTCCTTAGTTAGAGAATTAGAGAAAATTAGAGAATTAGGAAGACTTGTATTTGGAAAAAATTGAGATAGTCTCTGACGAGGAAAACTCGTGCTTAGAAAATTAAGAGAACGAAGAATTCTCTTGATCGGGAAATTGGGAAAATTAGAGAATTATGAAGATTTCTGTTTGGAAAAAATTGAGATGATCTCCAACGAGAGAAATTCATGATTGGAAAATTAAGAAAATGAAGGATTCTCTTGATCAGGAAATTGGGAAAATTAGAGAATTAGGAAGATTTCTGTTGGGAAAAAATTGAGATGATCTCTAAGGAAAACTCGTGATTAGAAAATGAAGAGAATGAAAAATTCTTTTCATCGGGAAATTGGAAAAATTCGAGAATAAGGAAGACTTCTGTTTGGAAAAAGTCGAGGCAACCTCTTACAAGGAAAACTCATAATTAAAAAATTAAGAGAACGAAGAATTCTCTTGACCAGGAAATCGGGGAACTTGTATATTCTGTTAATTAAGAATTTACAGAATTAGGAAGACCTTCTGTTTGGAAAAAGTCGAGGCAACCTCTGTCGAGGAAATTCGAACAATGTTCAGCTTGTAACATTCAGAAAAAATTAGCGATTTTTTCCTCGATAAACTAATGCAACGTTTGGTGCGATAGTTGACGTTGCTCAAGAAACGGCAGGCTGTTGAAATAGTTTTTCCGTCTGTGATTTATCGTTTTGCAAAAAGAGAAAGGAGATGGAGCATGGATGCACTAGCGTCGGTATGCAGTTTCCATGTAACCGGCTCTCGAAAGTAAATAACAAAACGCATACGCGTTTCGCTGATATTTACGTGAATAAACAATCTCGTATAATGAAAAGAGATTGCGATCAGTACCACCGACTTGCTGCCTACGCATAATTGCCTCTATGACGCGCTAAATTGATGCGTGGCACAATAATTTGCATCGTTGGTGCGAAACTGCGTGAGAAACACCGTTTGGTCGTTTCATTTTTACACACTGTAAAATTCAAATTTCACAAACATTCAAGTATAAAAAAGAGTTTGTTTCATTCTTCATGAGCTCCTTCCCCATCCCTAATTAAATAACAGCGAATCTTACGAAACATGTGAAACATACAGAAATATGAAAAGCATGCAAATATCGCATCGTGATAGCTCCTTAAATACGAAAAAGAAATTTCTACCCAACTCCCATCCCGTCACCTCGATTTCCCACAAAAATAGGCATTTTAAAATACCACTTGACACACATCTCACCCGAAACACCCAAACCGGCACTCTCCCATTAATCTTGAAAAAAAACAAGCGCATCCACTATCACGGATCTCCCTCTAAATTGGGCTTAACCGTTCCAGCTCACCTCTTCCCATTACCAATCCCAAATCTCCACCTTCTCCCGTGGATCTGTAGTATCAATTAGCCGATGATTACACCCGGAGCTGCATTATTCATCTCCGTAGAAAACACTCTGTCTGTGACCCGCTAATTAAATCCAACTAACAAGCGGTGCACGAAAATTGACTACCAAATCCTGTCCCGGTAGCAAATATAACGAGCCAATATGCAATAAAGAATAAAGAAAAAAAAAAAATTAAGAAAATCTTCGATCCGTCTTCTAACTCGATCTTCCAGGTGTATTATCGTTCGGTCCATCGTGCAACCAACTTTACACCTCTGGTCGTCCGACAAAGATCCATCGGAAACACGCGCGAGAATTTCTGCCGAATATTTGTATGAGAAACGCGCGTCGAGCATTTCTCGTGAAAATTTGTATCAGAAACACGCCTCGAGAGTTTCTCGTGAAAATCTATATCTGTTACACCTTCTCTGTCTATCTGTGTGTACCTGCGTGCGTAATAATCCCATTGATCTCTATCAGAAGTGAAGTTACCTGTGTCGGCGCAAAAAATACGCGTTCCAGATTGACACACCAGTGTTCCGTGTTCGAATTTCACGCGGTGGCTGATATCTGGAAGTGGAACGTATAGCCCCCGGTCTCCCTCTCTCTCTCTCTGTCCCGTCGGTACTTAGGCGGGGTGGCGTGTGTACAAGCGTACACGTGACCGAGGAACGTGCCTCCTGGTGCACGTGGACCCGAGGCACATCCCCCAACCGCTCTCACTCGTCGGGCCTCGTGCTTTCAACCCTCTTTTGCTCGAGGCGGAGGAGAGGAACCTGTTCCTCTCAGTCATCCTCGAGCCTCTTCGGGCTCTACGCGCGCGACATCCTTACCTTCCCGTCGATCATCATCTCTCTCACACACGCACACACAAGTGTTGACACTCGGTGAAATTCTCTTTGTTTTTCCTCTGCTTGAACTGTCGAGAAAAAAACACGGAGGTTTTTGGTTATTTTTTGGCGGATTTTTCAGAGTTCAGGCATTTCTCTCTCTTTCTCTGTCTGTTTGTTTGTCGTTTGTGAGAAGGAAACGGGTCGAATGTGTAGATTTATACAGAGAAAGAGATTGGTGTTTATGGTCATCATGCGTGGCTAAGGGTGCATGCACATACTTGTACGTGTAGCCGTATAAATTTACACGATGGAATGTGTGTGCGAGGGTGAGGAGGCTGTTTCTTCGAATTTCAGGCTTCACCTGCAACTCTGGATTTACCTGGTTCTACGTTGTTTCTTGGTGCGTGGTTCTTTTTTGTGGGATTGTGGTGGTTCGTTCTTCTGAAGTGATATTTTGTGCAATTTAACCCTTTCGTGGCGAGTTTTTGCCGGTCTTACCAATTTTCGTCGAGCGAATAAGAAATTTTTCGAGAGAATCTTCGAGTTGACGTTTGCCCAAAATTTGTAATATTGTACAGCTGTAGTTTAGGAAAATTCTACGGTAATTGCCGTTAAATACGCTTGTGCTCGATGATAGTTTCGATCGGATCGTCTTGCTCTTCGTCCATCATGAAAAATTTATAGTCTGGCGAAACCTGTGTGGGCAGTGTACATCGCGATGTATTAACATCGCAGGTATTGTTTCTCGATTCTTTCCGAAGGCTTAATTCGCATGTGCATGGTCCTTGGCGACTCGAGTACTCGTTTCTCGACAACGTGTCCTCTGTGTCTATTCGTCGATTCAAATCGACGGAATACTCTAGAAACTCGTTTGCTTCAATTCAGCGTCGCTGGTAATTTTTCACTCTTTCAAATTGGAAACCTTGAAAACTCTCTTCAGCGTCGCTGTTAATTTTTAGCTTTCGAGCTTCGAAGCAGAGAAATTGGAAACCTTGAGAAATCTGTTCAGCGTCGCAAGGAATGTCTAACTCTCGAGCTTCGGAGCAGAGAAACTCGAAATCTTGAGAATTCTAGGCTTCCTAGTTACCAATCGCTACGAGCAAAGCAATCTTCAAAAATTCTACGTTATTACTCTAACCGATCACTGAAAGCCCAAGTAAAAACTGGTAAAAGCTTCCGTATTTCGGTCAGTTCGCAGTTCGCCTCGCGGGAACAATCTGTCGAACTCCACACATGTCGAATAATTCACTGAAACCACGAGCAGAGACTAAAAATTGTGCAGTCGAAAATCGAAACAGAGAAACAAACTAAACTAAACTAACCACCTGAGATAACAAGTGAACCTATCCTCCAAAGGGGAAAAAAAAAGAAGAACAAAAAACTACACACAGTGGATTGGTACAGTGTATATGTGTGTGTGATAAGAAAGAATCGAAGAGAGAGAGGTTAAACTGGCAGCTGGAGGAGAAGTTTTGTACGAATGGGGAGCGAAGAAGGTGATGGAATGGCGAACGTGGATGCCGCCTCTTCGTGGCAACAATATTACACCTGGTGTGGCTCTTATTCTCACCCACATTCCCATTCACATCCCCATGGTGGCGGTGGAGGTGGTGGTGCGACAGCTCCAGTTCAACCACACACTCATTCGTCCCATCATCCCCACTTTCATCATCCGAATCATCTGAATCAGTACCAAGGAGATCAGTATCAACAGCAATCCCTGGCGGCATCCAGTGCCGCGAACGCGTCCGCCCACTATTCAACCTCGCAGCAGTATCATCTGCAGCTGCAACCCGCCCAGACGCCACCCTTGCACCAACAGCAACAGTTCCACCCTGTTAGGGGACAGACCGTGGCGAGGAGAGCCGCTCCATACGACAGAACAGGTATCCAATGTACAACTTTTCCGCCATCTTGCTCTCTGCTAACTTCTCACGGGCGTGCGAATGTGTGCGTGGAGAGAAACGATCGAAAGGGGTGTGTATCTGAGATTGGTGTGGTTGCGGTAGCAATGGCGATAACGAGAGCGTTTGGTCGTTGGAGTTGGGTGAGATTTAGTTAGGGACGCTTAGGGGATGTTGACGAGTCATGGATTGGAGATTATTGGGATGTGAACCATAGATGTGATCTTAGATTTCTTTGAAGTAACAATTGAAAATTTCTTGCTTTCACATTTCTTTTGTTGAATTGAATGAAAAATTTCAGGCGCGATTTAAGATCCGTTGAAAATTTATCGATTTCAAATTTCTTTCGTTGAATTCAGTTGCAAGTGCGCAAAGGACAAAAATTTAGGGTGCCAAAAGGCGCCAAGAGCACAGTGTTAGCAAATTTTCAAAGCGTCTATTGTCACCGATAACAGTGAAAGGGTTGATATTCGGAAGACGAAAAGTTTGGGTACTACCGAAAAGTGGTATGAAATTTAGGACGTCAAACATACCGAGATTGTGTTCGCACAAGATTGCACGTGCAACAGCGATGTATCTATCTTCGAGATAATTCAATATAAGGATAAAACATGGTAAATTGTTCGCGTTCCACCCAATCTTGTCCTTGGCTTCCGTATGGCTATTATCCTTCTCGCAACCCTGGAGGATTCAACGTGAAATTACATAAGCGACGGCGTGGTGGGTGGTCACGCGACGTCAATCACCAAATGGCTTGATCCTTCTCGAAGAATTAATAACCTCGGACAGTTTAGCTTGTTTCGTGAACGCGGTATATATCATCCTGATTAAAATCCCATTCTCCGTGTCGTATGGCCCGGTTTATACCCCGGAGGATCGCGTTTTACTTACACGCGAAATCTCTTGGTACCGTGGTTCCTTCTTTCACGCCGGAGAAAGGACCTCGGTTACTAATAATCGATAACCAATGCACTTGGTGAAAGAATGCCCAATTAAGCTATACGTGAGTTGCAATCTTACGATTTACGAATTTTTTGCATTTTTAGTAATACAAATTTTAAGCGGCAAATTTAATTTGGAATTTGTTTTAATTAATTCGGATAATATTTTCGATAACAGATGAAAATTTTCACGAGGAGAACTGAAAATGTCTACTGTAATTTTCATTCATAAGTCACTCACGTTACAATTTGGGAATTTTTTCAATTATTTTCACACGTTTTCTAACGCGGATAGTATTTTCAATAATACAAATTGTCACGAGGAAAGCTGAAGATACCTTTCAAGTGGGTATGTTTCATTTGGATAATATTTGGAAGGAATGCCTAATTAAATTATACGTCAGTTACAATATAGGAATTTTTTCAATTATTTTCACACGTTCTCTAATACCGACAGTGTTTTAAATAATACAAATTTTAAGCGGTAAATTCAATTTGGAATTTTTTCAAATTGATTCCGGTAACATTTTCAATAACAGATAGAAATTTTCACGAGGAGAACTAAAAATATCATCCACGTTACAAATAATCTCACACTCTTTAAGATATTTATTCCTCCGGTTCTCCAAAGGTCGAGACCTCCTCCCGGAAGCCCCAAACAGCCTGATTCTAAGCAGCGCCCGTCCTCACGGAAGCCCTAACCTTTTAAATTCTCCGATTGACACCTCCTACTCCTCATATTTCCATCATTCCATCTTTATATATGATTTACTTACTAAAAAAAGAACATTATTGACCCATTTACGTATTACACAACCTAATATCTCTGTGCAAAGGGGTTAGTCAGATTTTTACAAGTAGAATTTTCATCGAATCACCGTATAATCTCCAGCAGTGGGTTTCCCCTAAATAAATTCAAAGTACAAACAACGAATAGGGGGTTTGGGGTCGTATAAAAGCAACAGATTCCCCCATGAATAATTCAGCGTTCGTTTCAGCCACGGTTGCGTCGAGACTTGCTTCTTCTTCTTCTTCCTCCTCTTCTTCGTCCCCCTTCTGTCGCGCGTTCATCCCTTCAGTGAGAGTCTTCCAGACAAGCTGGATTTACTTCACTCGATCGAGTCGTTTTCGTCGACATTTTTGTTTCCATCGTCTCGGTGGATACGTAACAGCATGTAACTTCCGTAGATTTTCTTTTTCTCTTGTGTAGATATGTGTATGCAGCTCGCTCAGTTACGCAAACGTTGTTTTCTTTTTATTTTTTTCCTGCTTCGAGAAAAATCGCGTATTTCGTGCCGTATCTCTGTCAGACAGAGATTTCTACAGTTGGTTTCAGGTTTCTTTGAAATTGTTTAAACGATTATCGAGTAGCGGTTGGCTGTGATAAGTGAGGATAAAGTTCGTTAAAATTGACAGTTTGTTCGTTTAAAGCCGCTACCGTGAACGAAGGAAGCGCCTCATTACCGGTTACGATCATCATTTTCCGCAAGATTGCCTTTGATTATAATGATTATCGTGCAGAGCCGGGTCCTTTGCCGGTGGGCTTGATTCTTTGATCGTGTATCGATCGAATGTTAGTCGATAATACTGTGAAACTGTTAATACGTCGATCGTTCTTCTTGGCGAACTTGGCGTGGGGTTTATTTTTGAGGCTCGTGGGTGGTTTCACCGAATGATTTTATTCTTCATATATTGGATACTCGAGATATTCGGAAAATTGGGAAATTTAGGATCTTGGAGAATTTAGAAAATGAGGAGTTTGGGAAATTGAGACTTTGAGAGATTTGGCTGATGGAAAATGGAGGAAATTGGGAATTTGAGAGATTTGGCTGATGGAAAGTGGAGGAAATTGGGAATTTGGAAATTAGAAAATTAGAAAAATTAAGGATTTCGGATTTTAGGAAATTGGGAGTGTAAAAGTTTGGAAAATTGAGAGATTTGGCTGGTGGAAAATGGAGGAAATTGTGAATTTGAAAATTAGAAAAGTTAAGGATTTCGGATTTTAGGAAATTGAGGAAATTGGGAGTGTAAAAGTTTGGAAAATTGAGAGATTCGGGAGATGGAAAATGGGAAAAATTGTGAATTTGGAAATTAGAAAAGTTAAGAATTTGGGATGTTAGGAAATTGAGAAAATTGGGAGTGTAAAAGTTTGGAAAACTGAGAAATTTGGAGGATGGAAAATGGGGAAAATTGGGAGAATGGCAAAATTGTGAATTAGAGTAAATTAAAAATTTGGGAAATTGAGAGAATTGGGAACGCAGAAGTCTGGGAAATTGAGAAATTTGGGAATGGAAAAGGAGGAAAATTTGAAAAACTCCCGAGTTTTGTATCCTACAATTTTCTAATTCCCCATAATCGATATTTCCAACAACGAAATCCAGCCAATCCACTGGATAACACTCCTCCTAAAATCTTCGTCTCCTAAAAATCCTTCAACCTCGCGTTCCAGTTCCAGATTATTCACCTAGCAACATCCTCTTTTTTTCCCGCGATACTGTCTCCATAACCCGAAACGACGAGTGTTTTCGCGACGGACACTCTTACGAATAACGTGGCAATGCATGCACGCTGTTATTTTTCTCCCATGGAAATTCAGCGATAATCCTGACGCTGAAATAAACCGCAACGTCCATCATCCCGAGTGGCGGTACATGAAAACCGTATCTAATCGTTCGCCATTTCCATGAGAGCGGCACTGTCTTTCACTGGCCTGTCCTTTCTCGTTCCTACTTTTATGCTACTCCTTTTATTCAAATTGTCCAGTGGCCAGTTTCCATGTATACGCAAAACTCTATGAATCATTTTTTCTCGCATCTTTTTTACGTTAAACCATGAATTTTCATGTATTAATAAATCCAACGGTGATTGTGAAACATACTTTCGAGAAAGAGTCGTTTGCACGGCAAAGTTTATTTAAAATGGTAATTGACCGGTATACTTCTTTTGCCTTTCTAAGATACTTCGTTATCGAGAATGAGTTTTAGGGTTTTTAGAGATTTTTCAGAGATGCAAATTTTGAAATCTTTGAGATTTGGGAACTTGGAGATTTGAAGGCTTTGGGATTTCGATGCTTTGAAATTCGGAAACTTAGAGATTTCAGGGCTTTGAGATTTCGATGCTTTAAGATTTGGGAACTTGGAAATTTGAGAGCTTTGAGATTTGGATGCTTTGAAATTCGGAAATTTAGAGATTTGGAAGCTTTGGGATTTGGATGCTTTGAAATTTGGAAACTTAGAGATTTGAGAGCTTTGGGATTTGAAATCTTTGAGATTTGGAAACTTAGAGATTTGAGAGATTTGGGATTTGAAATCTTTGATATTTGAGAGCTTTGGGATTTGAAATCTTTGAGATTTGAGAGCTTTGGGATTTGAAATCTTTGAGATTTGAGAGCTTTGGGATTTGAAATCTTTGAGATTTGAGAGCTTTGGGATTTGAAATCTTTGAGATTTGGATGCTTTGAAATTCGGAAATGTAGAGATTCGAGAACTTAGAGATTTGGGATCTTAGAGATTTGGGATCTTAGAGATTTGAGAGATTTGGGATTTGGATGCTTTGAAATTCGGAAATGTAGAGATTCGAGAACTTAGAGATTTGGGAACTTAGAGATTTGGGATCTTAGAGATTTGGGATCTTAGAGATTTGAGAGATTTGGGATTTGAAATCTTTGAGATTTGAGAGCTTTGGGATTTGAAATCTTTGAGATTTGGATGCTTTGAAATTCGGAAATTTAGAGATTCGAGAACTTAGAGATTTGGGAACTTAGAGATTTGGGATCTTTGATATTTGAGAGCTTTGGGATTTGAAATCTTTGAGATTTGGATGCTTTGAAATTCGGAATCTTAGAGATTCGGGAGCTTTGAGATTTGAATGCTTTGAAACTCGGAAATTTAGAGATTTCAGGGCTTTCAAATTTGGATGCTTAAAAATTCGGAAACTTATAGATTCGCAACAACTGAACACACACACCATTCAGAAATACTTCCCTAATTACTAAGATTTTTCGACACTCTCCTTTACCAAAGATCACAATTCCATCGATCACTATCTCACAGAAAAATTCCTCGATTAATACATCACAGACAGAGGACAAAACTTAACACAGAATAGTCAATGGAAGAGTACACTTCAGCCTTGACTGGCGACAGAAAAAGCGGAAAATTCCCATGAACACCGGAAGTCGTTTGCTCTCTGTGCACCACGAGCCTCGGACAGGACACGCGATTACAAATTACAACGAAGAATATTCCACAAAATCCTCTTACTTTACAAATCGTCGAATGTCGACAAGTTTGTTTTGTGAAAAAAAAAAAAAAAAGGAAAAGAAAAATCACCGGGACAATTAGTTCCACGGTTGTTATTCATTAAACAAGATCCACCTTCATCTACGATCTTCCGTGAATCGTCCACTATGACTGCATATTGTAATCAATGGTGTATCCTGGTGTTTCTTCGCAGAGTTCCCAAGGACGCGTTCCGTCTCGTTGACGAGGATAATGCAACGTTTCAGGATAAGTCGCGATCGTCTTGATGCTGATTTTCTAAGCCGAGGATCGTTTAGAATTTTCTACTACTTCTCCCACTTCGCATCCTTCCGCGACCAATAATCTTTGTTTTCCTTCTTCTTCTTCTTCTGGCTGGTTCTTTATCCAACCAGCTTATTCGTCAGCTTTCAGATCGTAAATTAAGGAATATGTTTTTAATAAATATTAGATGTAACGTAAGGTTTATGTTAACGTAGAATTAAACGTAGAGTTTCCATGTGTTTTTCACGTAGTAAAATTGTAAGAGCGATATTGCTGTTCAAGTAAAGCCTATTTCTTCGCGAAGGATTCGCTCGAAGGCGAAGGTTTACGCTTCCTTTCGAACGGGTTCAGCTGATGAAGTTGTTAGCGAGAGATGTACCGACCCTTTCTTTCCTGAGGATGCAGGTGAGAGGACGGAGGAAATAGTTTATCTCGGTTTGCGAGTGGAGAAGGTGATTATACATACGAGAGTTACTCGAGTGTTATTAGGGTGGTGCACACGGAATTCCTGTTTTCTCTGGGGAAGTTTCAACGGAGATATTTTCTTGCTTTTTAGGTATTTTATTTAATCGGAATGATGCACGAGACTTTGAGTTTCTGGGATTTTTCTCGAGTTGGGTTTGGTGGATATAACATTTCAGAATTCAGTAGGCGATCTTTTTTCAGAGATGGTTCTTTCTTCCTGGATTTCTTCTGAAATTTCTTCCTGGAATTCTGCCTAGATTTCTTTCTAAATTTCTTCCTAGCTTTCTTCTTAGATTTCTCCCTAAATTTCTTTCTTTTCTTTCTAAAATTTCTGTCTAAATTTCTTCTTAGATTTCTTCTTAGATTTCTTCTTAGATTTCTTCTTAGATTTCTTCTTAGATTTCTTCTTAGATTTCTTCTTAGATTTCTTCTTAGATTTCTTCTTAGATTTCTTCTTAGATTTCTTCTTAGATTTCTTCTTAGATTTCTTCTTAGATTTCTTCTTAGATTTCTTCTTAGATTTCTTCTTAGATTTCTTCTTAGATTTCTTCTTAGATTTCTTCTTAGATTTCTTCTTAGATTTCTTCTTAGATTTCTTCTTAGATTTCTTCTTAGATTTCTTCTTAGATTTCTTCTTAGATTTCTTCTTAGATTTCTTCTTAGATTTCTTCTTAGATTTCTTCTTAGATTTCTTCTTAGATTTCTTCTTAGATTTCTTCTTAGATTTCTTCTTAGATTTCTTCTTAGATTTCTTCTTAGATTTCTTCTTAGATTTCTTCTTAGATTTCTTCTTAGATTTCTTCTTAGATTTCTTCTTAGATTTCTTCTTAGATTTCTTCTTAGATTTCTTCTTAGATTTCTTCTTAGATTTCTTCTTAGATTTCTTCTTAGATTTCTTCTTAGATTTCTTCTTAGATTTCTTCTTAGATTTCTTCTTAGATTTCTTCTTAGATTTCTTCTTAGATTTCTTCTTAGATTTCTTCTTAGATTTCTTCTTAGATTTCTTCTTAGATTTCTTCTTAGATTTCTTCTTAGATTTCTTCTTAGATTTCTTCTTAGATTTCTTCTTAGATTTCTTCTTAGATTTCTTCTTAGATTTCTTCTTAGATTTCTTCTTAGATTTCTTCTTAGATTTCTTCTTAGATTTCTTCTTAGATTTCTTCTTAGATTTCTTCTTAGATTTCTTCTTAGATTTCTTCTTAGATTTCTTCTTAGATTTCTTCTTAGATTTCTTCTTAGATTTCTTCTTAGATTTCTTCTTAGATTTCTTCTTAGATTTCTTCTTAGATTTCTTCTTAGATTTCTTCTTAGATTTCTTCTTAGATTTCTTCTTAGATTTCTTCTTAGATTTCTTCTTAGATTTCTTCTTAGATTTCTTCTTAGATTTCTTCTTAGATTTCTTCTTAGATTTCTTCTTAGATTTCTTCTTAGATTTCTTCTTAGATTTCTTCTTAGATTTCTTCTTAGATTTCTTCTTAGATTTCTTCTTAGATTTCTTCTTAGATTTCTTCTTAGATTTCTTCTTAGATTTCTTCTTAGATTTCTTCTTAGATTTCTTCTTAGATTTCTTCTTAGATTTCTTCTTAGATTTCTTCTTAGATTTCTTCTTAGATTTCTTCTTAGATTTCTTCTTAGATTTCTTCTTAGATTTCTTCTTAGATTTCTTCTTAGATTTCTTCTTAGATTTCTTCTTAGATTTCTTCTTAGATTTCTTCTTAGATTTCTTCTTAGATTTCTTCTTAGATTTCTTCTTAGATTTCTTCTTAGATTTCTTCTTAGATTTCTTCTTAGATTTCTTCTTAGATTTCTTCTTAGATTTCTTCTTAGATTTCTTCTTAGATTTCTTCTTAGATTTCTTCTTAGATTTCTTCTTAGATTTCTTCTTAGATTTCTTCTTAGATTTCTTCTTAGATTTCTTCTTAGATTTCTTCTTAGATTTCTTCTTAGATTTCTTCTTAGATTTCTTCTTAGATTTCTTCTTAGATTTCTTCTTAGATTTCTTCTTAGATTTCTTCTTAGATTTCTTCTTAGATTTCTTCTTAGATTTCTTCTTAGATTTCTTCTTAGATTTCTTCTTAGATTTCTTCTTAGATTTCTTCTTAGATTTCTTCTTAGATTTCTTCTTAGATTTCTTCTTAGATTTCTTCTTAGATTTCTTCTTAGATTTCTTCTTAGATTTCTTCTTAGATTTCTTCTTAGATTTCTTCTTAGATTTCTTCTTAGATTTCTTCTTAGATTTCTTCTTAGATTTCTTCTTAGATTTCTTCTTAGATTTCTTCTTAGATTTCTTCTTAGATTTCTTCTTAGATTTCTTCTTAGATTTCTTCTTAGATTTCTTCTTAGATTTCTTCTTAGATTTCTTCTTAGATTTCTTCTTAGATTTCTTCTTAGATTTCTTCTTAGATTTCTTCTTAGATTTCTTCTTAGATTTCTTCTTAGATTTCTTCTTAGATTTCTTCTTAGATTTCTTCTTAGATTTCTTCTTAGATTTCTTCTTAGATTTCTTCTTAGATTTCTTCTTAGATTTCTTCTTAGATTTCTTCTTAGATTTCTTCTTAGATTTCTTCTTAGATTTCTTCTTAGATTTCTTCTTAGATTTCTTCTTAGATTTCTTCTTAGATTTCTTCTTAGATTTCTTCTTAGATTTCTTCTTAGATTTCTTCTTAGATTTCTTCTTAGATTTCTTCTTAGATTTCTTCTTAGATTTCTTCTTAGATTTCTTCTTAGATTTCTTCTTAGATTTCTTCTTAGATTTCTTCTTAGATTTCTTCTTAGATTTCTTCTTAGATTTCTTCTTAGATTTCTTCTTAGATTTCTTCTTAGATTTCTTCTTAGATTTCTTCTTAGATTTCTTCTTAGATTTCTTCTTAGATTTCTTCTTAGATTTCTTCTTAGATTTCTTCTTAGATTTCTTCTTAGATTTCTCCCTAAATTTCTGCCTAAATTTCTTCTTAGATTTCTTCTTAAATTTCTTCCTGGATTTCTTCTTAAATTTCTTCCTAGATTTCTTCTTAGATTTCTCCCTAAATTTCTGCCTAAATTTCTTCTTAGATTTCTCCCTAAATTTCTGCCTAAATTTCTTCTTAGATTTCTTCCTAGATTTCTTCCTAGATTTCTTCCTAGATTTCTCCCCTAAATCTCTCCCCAAACTTTTTCCAAAGCCCAGAAGAACGACAGTCTCCTGTCACATTTGCAAACGAGTGTTACTTTATCCCCACCGTAAACAACGAGACTTTTACACCACCTCGATATGTTGACTTTTCAACGAGTCTCTATCCGAGTGATAGTTACGTACACGTTATTTTACAAGTAGATTGATAGTTTGGCTAGATTGG